TGGGATGCTTCGTCAACTGACATCTTCACCGATCGGTCTATTGTCATTTATCGCAGTTGGAAAGTCCATTTAGGATTGCTCGGATAGCTCCCGGAATAGGTACCAGCGAAACAAATAGCGTTGGATTTGTTGACTGAGCGTTAAAACAGCAAATACGAAGCCTCCTGTCATGTTATAAAATTGTAGATTATGCTAGCTTTAGTGTACCTATAATCTTAATTTTATTAATGACAGGAGACGAGTATTTCCCACCCATTCTTATCCCTCCCTTGTTTTAGTTTAATAGTTTGGATTAATCGGGTACGTATGCAACTCTGTTTGTTGTCTCTGCTACCTGTCGCCTGTTCTTATGTCTGTTTTTTCATAAGTAGGGTTGGGATATCTACATATTAAGGTACTTTTGGTTGCTACATTGGGTACCTACATGTTTATTCAGAGTACATTTCATTGGATAATCAACCTGTTCGATTCTGTTTTTCTCTCGTTTCAGTTTACAGTCCATCAACGCTATCTGGTTTGGCAGTTCTTCTCGAACGGTGGACATCGTTGTATTCATCGTATCTAGGACTTTGTTTCTTCCCCATTATGTTTTCTGCCTTTTATTCTGTTTTTGTCGCAGCTTGAAAGAGGAAATGATGCATGGGGAGGGGAGTTTTATAGTAACTAACTTTTTTCTGATTGGTTGTTTTTCTGTGCTGCTGGGGAGTTCTAGTAAAGAGAGACTTAAGCAAATACGAAGCCTCCTGTCATTAATAAAATTAAGATTATAGGTACACTAAAGCTAGCATAATCTACAATTTTTCGAGTATCACCTGTATAAGAGTTAAAATAGTGGGTAACTCTTCGCTTTAAATCAATCAAGGTGAAACAGTGCAATATCAATTTTTCATGTTAATAAAAGTTAAATATAATTTTGATTATTTTTATAAAATATTTTAATAGATCACCCCATAAATATCCTCACACTATGGATTCGTACAGGTTGAAACTGCAACGTTTACATTACAGGGTTAAGAAGGCCTCTAGTGGCCATCTACCAGACAGCCAATGGAGGAGTCTCCTGCAATTTTACAGCGTTTAAAAAACTTTTCATGCAGCCTTTTATTATTTACATTTATTTTTTTAAAGGGACACTAGTCACCTGAACAACTTTAGCTTAATGAAGCAGTTTTGGTGCATAGAACATGCCCCTGCAGCCTCACTGCTCAATCCTCTGCCATTTAGGAGTTAAATCCCTTTGTTTATGAACCCTAGTCACACCTCCCTGCATGTGACTTGCACAGCCTTCCATAAACACTTCCTGTAAAGAGAGCCCTATTTAGGCTTTCTTTATTGCAAGTTCTGTTTAATTAAGATTTTCTTATCCCCTGCTATGTTAATAGCTTGCTAGACCCTGCAAGAGCCTCCTGTATGTGATTAAAGTTCAATTTAGAGATTGAGATACAATTATTTAAGGTAAATTACATCTGTTTGAAAGTGAAACCAGTTTTGTTTTTTCATGCAGGCTCTGTCAATCATAGCCAGGGGAGGTGTGGCTAGGGCTGCATAAACAGAAACAAAGTGATTTAACTCCTAAATGACAGTGAATTGAGCAGTGAAATTGCAGGGGAATGATCTATACACTAAAACTGCTTTATTTAGCTAAAGTAATTTAGGTGACTATAGTGTTCCTTTAAGTTTTCAATAGGAATTGCTCGAACGGCTGTCTGCCAGTCATTAAAGGTACACTGCGTGACAATTGTAAGACAAAAAAAAAAAAAAAGACAAAAAAAAAAAATCTTTTGATATTAGGAAGTCTTAATAATCATTCCATTTTTAAACTCTAAATCATAGTCGAAATTGTAATCTTTCTTTTATAGGGATTGACTAGGTCATAAATCATTAAAGGGGAGAAAAAGTCAGTAATTCTCTAGGAACAAAATAAATGGGTTGGATTTATGAACTCAAAACAGTCTCACATGGATTGAATTTAGATTTTAATTTAAGTTTTATCCAACATGTATTTCTGTGTATGTATTTTTTTGTAACTAACTTTCTGTATTGGGCTCTTTTTTATAGTCAAAATATATTCTACAAATGGTACCCTCATCCATACATATCAATACTGGGAATTTTTCACCACTGTAAGGTTTTTATAACATATATTTATTAAAAAAAACAAAACAAAAAAAACTTACAACTTAATTGTATGTAAAATGTATTAGGGCGATTCTTCTGTTCTAATATAATAATTTTAAGCAAGTTAATGTGGACATTTGACATTCTATTTGGAATGTAGATATTTCTATTACAATTAATATACATTAAAACATATTTTTCACAATTACTTATGTAATACAAGTACTTTTGTACTTCTATTGATTTATTTTATAACAATGCTTCTTAACCATTTATTTATAAATATGTTTAAAAAAAGTTTAAACTGCACTAGCATAAAGGTAAAAATATCTTATTTTATTGTAAAGCACCGTGGAATAAGCTGGCACTATATAAATACCAATAATAATAATAACACTATTGCAAATTTTTGTGTAAAGGAAAGATTGTAAGAATGTAATGAACCATTTTAACAATTTAGTGGCAATTTTTAATTACATTTTGGCTGTCGTCAGGCAACTACATTATCACGTATATTCAGTATTTTTGTGGCTTAAAAAGAAAAGACTGCAAATACTTGACACGGAGGAGGGACCAGAGTTGACTAAATTGAAGGTGGGGGGGGAAAAACAAAAACATTAAATTTAAGCACTTTGATGGTAAAATGCATTAGTGTTAATTGTACTGTGTGATATATTCAGTTTTTATTATTCAAAAACACATTTATAATTTTATCACTTTGGAATAAAATGAGCTTTTTTTCCTTCTTCTAAGAAAAGATTCACAGTTCAACCATTGGTCTGGTTGGTGGGAACCAAATTACCACCTAATGCTCTTGTTTCCCGAGCAGGGATTACCTTCTCCAGAAAATCCAAAGTCATTGCAAAGCAGGACCTCAAGTTGCAAGACTTTGCAAAGTAGTATTTCAAATTGCAGGACCTTGCACAGCAGGACTTCAGTCTGCAATATACTGCACAGCAGGACTTCAAGCTTTAAGACTGCATTTTGTCAAGAATTCATACATAACTGAATCCAAAGAGGGGGTTTAAAACAGATACTACTTATAAGACAAAGAGCTTGTCTTAAAGAGACACTAGTGTCACAAAAACAACATTGGCTTAATGAAGCAGTTTTGGTGTATAGAGCATACCTCTGCAATCTCACTGCTCAATTCTCTGCCATTTAGGAGTTAAATCAAACGGTTTTTGCACTCTAGTCACACCTCCCTGCATGGGACTTGTACAGCCTTCCTAAACACTTCCTGGTAAGAGTCATTCAAATATTTATCCTTCCTTTATTCCAAATTCTGTTTAATTTAGATTTTCTTATCTCCTGCTCTGTTAATTGCTTGATAGACTGAGCAGGAGCTTCCTGTATGTAAAGTTCAATTTACAGAGCAGGAGGTAAAATCTTTTAAGGAAAGTTACATCTGATTGAAAGTGACACCAGTTTTCCATGCAGGTTGTGTCAATCAGAGCCAGGGGAGGTGTGGCAAGGGCTGCATAAACAGAAACAGGAGTTTTAACCCATAAATGGCAGTGAAAATTCAGCATAATCCATACACTAAAACAGTTTAATTAAGGTAAAGTTGATTTGGTGACTATAGTGTTCCTTTAATAGCTCTCCACTACATAAGGGAGCTTTTTTTTTAGATTAGCATCTCAGTGATTCTAACATACCTTTGTATCTTCACTTCCAGGTGAAATCATAGAGAGGGAGTATATTGCTACATGACATTATTGGCATTAACAATATACCTGTTATTTTATACAAACATTGCAGCCAAGTCTAAAGGGGTAGGTTTCTAAAAGTGTTTGATTGCTATTGATTTACAGAATTGCTATATCCTTTTGCATTTCTTTGTACTATATATACACATACACACACAGAGAGAAAATGCTCTTGCCTCCCCAATATAACCATTAATAAAAATTCTGCTATTCTACCCTTGTGTTTAAAATAGAGCTTCACTTTTTATAATTGTTTATTTCATCCTCAAAAGCATATCATACTTAGACAAGTTTATTTTTAGTTGCAGTGTGCACTTTTTCCAAGACCTACAAGTGATATGATGATGGGCTTTTTAACCAATTACATCTTGTAAGTCTCATAATAAAGCAGTGAATTGAATTACAGTGTTGCACTATGGCTTTTTTCTATTTCCTATATGTATGCATGAAAATACAGTTCAACAACACAGACCGGAGGACGACATTGTTTGAGGAGCCTTTTTCCATATTTGGATTTGTGAGTTTAAAGGACCACTATAGTGCCAGGAAAACATACTCGTTTTCCTGGCACTATAGTGCCCTGAGGGTGCCCCCACCCTCAGGGTCCCCCTCTGCCCGGCTCTGGAAGGCACCCAGACCACTTCATTAAGCTGAAGTGGTCTGGGTGCCTAGAGTGGTCCTTTAACCTTGAATCTATTTTTATTTGGAGTTTTATGAACGTATTATACTATTTAGTCTCGTTTTACATTTGTGTAGATTTACCTTTGTACATTCTACCCTGGTGGCTATTTAAATGCTCATATATTCAGTTCTTTCTGATACCGTATCTATTCATCATTTGATAACTGATGGCTAGCAGGCTGACTTTTCAGGACCCTGGAGGCAGATTCAGAAAAAAGTATACATGCAGCTCTCACTTTGAGCACTGCCCATAGTTCATCTTTCATTCTGGGGTTACTAACAATGGCCACAGCTAACACAGTGGACCCTTCGGTATATGATACATGTGGCTCCCTGGTACCAGCAAGGATTAAATACTGCTGTTAATTTTAATGCATGCTGTCAATGGATGTTAATGCCCTACACTACATGACTGCATAGACTATCATGCGGTCCCTCAAATGGTTAAAAATAAAGAGCATATTACATAATAAAAATATTTTGTATCCTCATCAGTAGAATTCTTTCAGATTTTATTTGGTGTGACTGACACTACCAGTTATTTCAGGACTTAATATCATTTTGCAGAGTTAACAAAAGAGAAGCAATATAATGTTCAATGACAATCTTTAATTTGGAATGTACATATACACAGATGTGTAGCTGCCTCTGGATCAGATTTACACTACCTTAAATTAAGACCAGAGTTGAATTTTTCAGAAACCATTACTATACAATCAAGTAAAGGAAAAAAAAATTTTTAAAAGCGCGGATACAATGAAACAAAGTAATGTAAATTTACACACATTAAAATGAACACAATATATTTTGTACACAGCTAAGGTTATCTGCATTACAAATGTTTTATAACTTAAAGTTCCATATAAGATTTATGGTTAAATTAAAATTCCTTCAACTCTTATTGCTGTAGAGACTAAAAGGCTTCGCAGTCCCTGTAGCAAAGAAAGTTAAAAACAGGAAAAAAAAAATAAAAAAATTACAAAAATTAGCATATATTTTTTAAAAATAAAAAGTGCAAATATTTCACATTCATAATATTTCCCAGCACATACGGTAAATGGAGAACTTTTGTTTAAAGGAAATTTGGTTCAGCTGTTAAGCCAACAAAACAAATAGACTTTAGGATTATTAGAGTACTCTACGTTAAACGTACAGAGATACAATCTAGTATTAAGACCATCTCAACTTATGTTGGCATGCGAGTCCAGCCCCCTCTGCTCTCCTCTACATTTGCAGGTATAATATTTCAATGGATACAAAACAAAAAATTTAAGATAATACAAGCAGATTATATTCTGATAGCAAGGTGGAAAAAAACAAAAAACTGCATTTAGGTCACTAGGCCTAAGATTTAAAAACATAATATTTACTAGCTCTCAAAGGGAATGTCCTAATAGGTAATGCATACATTTTTTCAGACTGCAAAATAGTAAATTAAATCAATAACGGTCTGAAAATGGAAGGTTGATGGGGTTGACCGTTGGCTAAAACCTTATTTGGATCTTTAATAAGGCCTTCAAAATCAGCAGGGGTTCACAAAAACAGCATGTCACAGACATTGTAATCCCAGCCCTGTCTGAAATGGTTTGCTTGGAATAAGCAGAAAGACTCCAAATCAATTAGATCTGGCATATCGGAAATTACTACAGGAAGAAAAATACTAGATGATGCACCATCGAACAAAAAGCCGTACAGTGTCAGTTTCCAGTGAGGAAAGATAAGGCTTAAAAACACTGTCAAAAAAAAAAAAAAGCAACTAAAGACAAATTCTCAGTGCAACATCCTTCCTGAAAAGACTTTGATATGAATTTTCAGAAACCTTAGCAGAATGAAGTTGCTAGTAAACTTGCATTCTTCTCGTTAAAATTTACTAGCCAACAAAGAGGAAATATTAAGCTAAATAAAAATCCTTTCAAACAAAGATCAGGAAGATATAAAGATTAGCCACACATCTTTTTTCTAAAGTAGATTAGAAAAATGAGGTACTTTTCATAGAAATTATATATGGCTTTGACGAAACAAAAACAACACATGCTGTCACTGCTAGAGATGCCTGGGAGAGATGAAAAAAAAAAAAAAAAAAAATCTTTGCACGTTCATTTTATTGGATTCATTCTACACGACAATATCAGTCCTCCGTGGGGGCTCATACAACAGGGAACGGGTGGAGAACCTCACACAAAATGCCTACATTCCCTTAAAATCCACCAGTCCTAGAAATGTACACTGTATTACATGTTAAACTCACTGTGGTGGGGCAGAAGGGTTAAAAACAAAATCCATCACTAGAGATGTAAAAATTACAAATACAATCTTAAAAAGAAAATATATGTATATATATTTTTTGCATTAAAAGGATGCCTTATTATGATAAAATGCATGCAGCCACCTCCTGAGTGCAGATTTGCCATCACAGCAGAACGAAAAATAGACGCTGCTGACAGATTCCAGGCTTGTAACAGACAGGGGAATACACAGACATGCCTGCAAATGCACAAGGTTGCTGGTGTATTATTTTCTAAGCAATGTAGATCTTTTCCACATTACATGAGTATGTACTCAGCTGGTAGCAGCAACCACCTCTTGCTGTCTGTCTGGAAATGTCACCTTAAAAGTGAAAGACACTTGCGAGATGCAGTGAGTAGCAGAGCAAAGGATGCATTGCGTTTATGTTGCAAAGGGTTTGGGTCACTGCAGGATGTATCAACACAATAGGAATGCTGGTGGATTCTAACAGCAATACTCAGTATCACCTTGTTCTATAGTAGACTGAGAAGAACAAAGGCAAAACTGAACTGTTTGACAGAGGTGTGTGTTTGTGTGTATTCTTGGAAAATAATGGCTCAAAAAGATTAAAAGTGGAAGAAAGCTTTATCAGTATCCAGAAAATAGCAATCTTTAAGAACAGGGTGGACAAGCTGGACAGGAAGAGTGGGGAGTTAGTCAGGTGAGCAGGATGCCTATTTATTTCCACATGGGAGAGCTGATCGTTTGGTTTGGTCCTGGGTTGCATGTTGGTTGTCCATATCCAGCCATACCTCCCACACCAAAAAAGGTCATTCCTGCCATCTGTTGTGACACCTGAAATGATACAAAAACAAACAATAAGAGGAGGAAAACAAAACGACACTACTATAAAGCCAGTACAAGCCATATACATTAGTTACATGTTTCAGTACAATATGCACATGTTCACATACATGTATGGCACTGATGTAGGAAATGTAAACACACAGAAGTGTTTCATTGGTTAAAACGTCAGGGAACTCAAGTTTACCATAATTCACAGGTTGGCCACAAACCAAAGTGAAACAAAATGACTAGCATAAAATCTGACTTCTATTCGAATTTAAAAGTCAGCAGTTGTAAAGAACCCTTAAAGGAAATACAAGTATGTAAGCAGATATTCAACCTAAACAAAAAGTCAGCATAATTAACAAGGAGTATGTTTACTTATCCCTGTGTGTTACAAATGTATTTTTATGAATAAGGAAAAATAAAATGAAATTTAAAAATCCACAACAATGAGTTTAGCTCTATCTAGAGTGCCTCCATCTTGGCTACTGATTAATCATGGTTATATGCTTGGCTCTTTGCTGCGGTCCCCTAACATAAAAGAGGAGAAAACCCAGAAACATTTCTCCTCCCCCCCCCCCCAAAGGCAATGCTTCTCCTGGATGTGCCTGGAATAAACTGGATTGTTTTCAAGAGCTAAATCTTTATTATAAATAGAAGAAAAGAAAAAAAAAAAACCCACAGACCATCACATTGATAAAAAGGTAAAAGGCTTTATTCAAACGTTGTAATTTGCAGATAAGTTAACACTTGTTCTTTAAAGTGGCTCTGTCAACTTATGTGGTATTTGTATATTCAAAGACTACCACATTGTGACTGCTCCACTTCCAGTGCTGCACAAGAGTACAACACTAATGTCACAAGACAGTGGGTGCCTCCATTAACAATATCCCTACCCCCACCTTAGCTGTGGGGCATGATAGCGGAAGCTCCGCCTTTTTGCCAAGTGCACAAAAAATATGTAAAACAAAGCCGACCCTACCTTGTCTTTAGGGATCTTTTGACTGGATTGGAATTTCAGTATGTTAGCTTTATGAAATGCTTCCTTTTTATTTGGGGGAGGGGAGGGGTTTGACAGAGCGGTTTGAATGACCAATATGCTAAGAAAGTATGAAAACAACAGGCCCTTACCTGAGCAACATTCCACTGCAGTTGTTGTCCTGGTTGCACGCCATATACTGGCTGTGCCATAGCACCCATGTTGGTTACAAAACCCGAATGTTGTGTCATCATTCCATTGGGAACACCCATGACAGCAGCCTGTACACCTCCAACATAACCAGCAGGCATAGCCATGGGAGCAACCATATTTGGGTGGGTCGGCTGTGCCATGATGCCCACTGGCGATGCCATCATACCACTCATGACACTGCCTGGAGGAGGAACTGCTGGAAAACCAGGGTAAGCAGTTGGATATGCCATCTGTGCAGGTGCCATGAAGAGGGCTCCTGCAGAAGAGGAAAGAAGGAAAGAAACAAAAAACACAAGAACAAAGTTTACAAATGTTAGGGCAAAACATTTGCAAAAAATGAAGCCATGGTTTGTCAAATTCATCAGAATACCTGATCAATAAAGCAGCATTGTTATTTGTGGGTTCTCTGCACATTTGGGAAATGGCAGTGGAAATTGTCTCTTGGCAATTACATTAAACAGACGATTACCTTTTCTCACGTACATTTTGATTACTTGGAATTTCAACTAGATTCCAAAAAACACCAGAAATAGCATTTCATTCTCTTTACAGATTCTATCTTTTTGGAAAGCTCAAAAGTGACAGTTGCTTTGAAGTCTAGATAATGAAATTGCTCCAGTAGAAATATGCTCAGTTTATACCCTGTGCTGGAATCTGAGGAGGTTGAGTCCCATAAAGAGACAAAATTGTGTCCTTGGATAGCTGCTTCTTCCCACTCTCCTCAGATCTTCCTCCACTTTCTGGGAACAGGTTGAGATTTTCAGGAACAGATCCAGAACTTCCAGGTACAGGCACAGAACCAACTGCCTGAGGGTGAAAAAGTTCACATCTCATATTTACTAAATGCAAAAGATGCTATAATCAAGTCATATAGTGACATTTGAGACTTTGTGTGTGTGAAATGTTCCTTAATGTGTTAACATTTGTCTTTGTCTCGTTACCTGGCTAGACTTTGAGCCAGACATAGTCTGGACAGGTCCAAACAGGTCCAATTCTTTTTCCAAGCTGGTGCAGGACTTTCCATTAGGAACAGCAGCTGCAACAGGAGCATCTAAATCAAAGGAAAAACATTAATTGGTAATAGCTCAAAATAAGGAGACACTGAAAACTTGATTAGGCTGTAGTCATGGAAGGTCCAATACATCCCAAAAATCAGCCAGAAACAAGATGCATTCTGTCTTTATAGGAATTTAATTTCTCAGATATGGGATTAAAAAAAACAAAAAAAAAAACAAAAAAAAAAAAAAAAAAAAAAAAAAAAAAAAAAAAAAAAAAAAAAAAACACACCACACACAAAGAACCACTAAAGTCACCCAAGCCCCTTCATCTCAATGAAGTAGTATGGTGGCAGTGGTCTTGTCATTTTAACCCTGCAATATAAAATATTGCAGGTTTGTTTTTCTAATGCTTTATACTTCAAAGGAACACTAGAGTCCCCAAATCTACGATCCACAACTTCCAGGTACGGGCACAGAACCAACTGCCTGGTGGTGAAAAAGTCCATAGCTCAGATTTACTAAATGCAACAGATGCTATAATCAAGTCAGTCTCTAATTCGGTGTCTAATTCTTCTACAGGTAGACTATACAGAAGAGAGACACAGAACCTGCTTTGGACATTTTTACACTAAAAAAAAAAAAAAGTTAAAAGGAACACTATAGTCAACATAACAAATTTAGCTTAACAAAGCAGTTTTGGTGTATAGATTATGCCCCTGCAATCACACTGCTCAATTCTCTGCCATTTAGGTGTCAAGTCACAATATTTACTCAGCCTTAGCCACACCTCCTTGCATGTGATTTACACAGCCTTCCTAAACACTTCCTGTAAAGAGTCATCTAATGTTTATAATTCCTTTACTGCAAATTCTATTTGAATTAGAATTTCTTATCTCCTGCACTGTTAGCTTGCTAGATGTTGATGCAGCCTCCTGTGATTAAATTCAATTTACAGAGCAGGAGACAAAAAAAACAAAACAAAAAACAAAAAACAACATTTAAACTAAGCAACATCTATATGAAAATGAAAAAGTTTTTTCATGCAGGCTGTGTTAGTTACAGCAGTGGGAGGTGAGACTTGGGCTGCATAAACAGAAACAAAAGTGATTAAACTCCTAAATGGCAGGAAATTGAGAAGTGAGACTTCATAGGCATGATCTACACACAAAAACTGCTTCATTACGCTAAAATAGTTTTGGTGACTACAGTGTCCCTTTAATTTAAATCTCATCTGAGCCCAGATATGAAAAATTGCTCAAAGTGCTAGAGATGAATGTGCACCTTCCTGAGCATGTAAGACACCACAAGTTACAAAAAACAGAACTACAAAAAAACCAAAGCAACAGATGACATATTGCAATCATTACACCAGTCTTGTATTTAAAATAACTAAAATATCAACCAATCATGGCTGCCTACATATTTTTATAAAAAAATGAAAATCAAGAATAAAATAGGTTTTTTAAAAATCTGAAGTAGTCTTCAGTAGTGTGGGTAAAAAAGTATTTTTTTCCTTTTCAATAAATATTCATCATTTTACACGTATTGATTTTGCAGGCATGCAGCATTTATACCCAAGCTTACCCAGGCCTAAAAGGTCCATAACTGGTTCTGAAGTCTTTGGAGGAGGCGTCTTAGTAGGCAGAGGATCCTCCTTTTTATGTGGCTAGAGAAAGAAAGTCCAAGACGAATGTTAACATTTAAAAACTCTAAGATACATATGTAGAAATTGAAATATGCAAGATATTTATCAATACCTTTTTAATTAAATCCCTGCCTTTCATATGTCTAAATACGTACGTCTGGACATAAGTCTGGACTACGACCATTTAATTAGAAGCTTACTTTTTTCAATCCACTGGAAAGCCCTAGAATTCTTTGTGGGTTGCAGGTGTGTACCTCAATTGGTATTGTTTAGCACACTATGCAATGTAAATGTACACATGGAGGAAGAGTCTATTTTTAGCCATCTTGTGCGAAATTCCATAGAAGCCCATTTTGTATTTTCACACGTATGTAAGAATACAAAAAGGAACGAAATTCCTGATAAGGGAAGAGTACAAGAAACATGGGGAAAGAGGACCACCAAGAACAGTGTTTCTGCCAGCAACTTTTGGGATATGTATAGTTTATACTCAGTGCGCATATGTATGGCATAAACTAGATCGGACTATGGCCTTGATTTCATTATTTTGGATAAGCTTTAAAAAAAATGTTTTTGTTTATATATAAAGTAATATATCTCAAAATATTAAAAACAGGTAAGTTAAAGATACTGGCATAAGCCATTTTCTCTGTAACAAAGACTTGCTGTGAATGCTGGTCTTAAAAATTGTATGTTCCAAATAAACCAAATGTACAAAAGATAACTGACATCTAGGCTAGTATTTATATATGTACGAGGATATCACAGAGATGCTTACAATAATAGTTTATGGGTAAAGTTCTCAAGGTTGCCTGTCAATTTATAATATTGCTGTACATACAAACCATTGCTTGATAAAAAGCATTAGGTTTACCAACGTGCAAGTTAGCCAATACATATCAACACCAACTATTAATAACCTGCAAACAATTAATCCAACCAGTACAGATCACATATCAATATACAGGCTGGGAGACAGTTCTGTAAACACAGCCAAGTGAGACAGCTCAGTGTTAGCACTTTAGCAGCTCTAGTACATTTTGAAATATCGGGAACAGATGAAAGATTCCTGACAGGGTCACCACTGCTCTTCATCCATCTAAAGTTGATCAAATGAGTACCATTAGTTGGACAATAGCAGGAAAGACATTAACATCCAGGGATCAAGGCCTAAAGGAAATAAGAATGAAAACTCTTCAGCTCCACCAACCCTTCCCACCTGTTAAATAACTCACAAATGTGTTATCAAAGAGCATCCCAAGGTGTTTAGCATCACATCATATTCTCCTGATAGTGTCCTTTTAGGTCTCCTTTTGAATGCCAGTAGTATCAACGAAATCCTGGGACACAAGTTGCAGAAAGATCAGCTTTAATGGAGACAAGCCAGAGGGCAACATTTTGACTTCTTACAGGAATCTTTTTAAAGTCCCTTATTAACTTGGGAAATAATCCAAAATAGAGTGGAAAATTTGCCATGTAGCTGGTTTCCATTAAACCTGTTCTTTCTGGGATTTGTGTCCCCAAATTTCTCTTTGATAAATCAGATTACTGGGAGTGTGCTGCTCCCATCCATGGAGCATTAAGAGTGCAGTATTCTTGACGTGTGCAGCCATTCTCTTTGTATTGCCAGGCAAAATATTCAAAGTATATACTAGTCAGAATTCTGGCAACCTAAACCAAACACTGACTTAGCAATTGCCCTTTCTATATATTTTTCCATCTCCATCTCTAGATACTGCCACCCTTGTGTACACAAAAAGGTGTACATAAAGGAATGCATACATGCAATATCTAGACTTAAAACATTTTTCTCAAGTGTATGGAAATTTGTATTGCAAACAATCGCAATATTGCAGAATAAATATTTTTATTTCTTATTCAGAAAAATATTAATGCTTGTCTATCAACCCCCACCGATACTGTTCTACAGCACAGAGCCCACATCTATGGTCACTGTGTTGAGTATTGATACAAGTGTAGTGAGTGGGGTTTATCGTTAAATATCAAAATAGGAAACATTGTTTGCAGCAAGTAGCTCCGTGGTTGCTTATGTCATCTTGTATGCAATTAATCAACTCATTTAGAATGAATACCCTGGCTATAGTTTTAATACAATTCTACTTTAGAGATATTCCTGAGAAATTAGAACATACCAGCTTGACCTTCTCAAATATGACCTGTTCAGACTTTATATCTGGGGCAGATTCAGATTTCTTCCACTTGCTTTCTCTCTCTTTCTGCTTAAAAAAAAAATAATGGACATAATTTAGCATAACAACCCTTTAATGTTAGCTCCAGCAATACATTACATCTAAAACATTGGAACATTGTAAAGTACGGTCACTCCCAAGAACGAAAAAAATTATAAAAGAAGGGGAGGGTATGAAACATCTCCATTGCTAAAAGAACTTATTTTCAAGTTATTTTGTAAAGAAAAAAGAACCCACAAACAAACCACAAAGACTAGATTCCAAACAAGCTGCCTTTTCTACACCTATTAACAAAAAAATAAAATAAAAAATAATCTGGCTTCAGTACATTGTATGTCACATTTTCTCCCCATGTCAAGGTTTCTCATACTGTGCTCATATAGAGTACCTATATAGAGTAGTTTTCACAAGTCAGGGGTACTGACTGATCAGCTAAAATCAGATGTGAACAATTCCAATATAGGTGCGCTGTGTCTGTAAGACCAAAAAAACTTTTTTTAAAGCGCAGCAAAATGTTAACAAGTGCAATATGCATTAAAATTCATATCACTTCTAATCGTGCATTAAGTGCAAAATGTGGTAAAACTGTACACTCACTCTAAATGTCATATGTTGTGTTAAATGGTTTTTATTGTTTTTTGAAAGCACAGTAATAGCAGGCATATGGCATATATAAGGCACATGGTTGCCTTCGCAGAGGCATATAGGTCAAAGTACACATACATGATGAATATTATGAAGCGAACATGCGTGTAGTTTGCATAAGTACAGTTATAATGCATGTGTGGTCATAAATTATGTAAGTAGTAATCTAATCAGCAGCTGAACTCTCTGCAACCATATAACCGGGTGCCATTGCGTCTTAGAATGAATGTGATAATCTAAAGCGAAAATGCGTGTAGTTTGCATAGGTACAGTTATAATGCAGTGAAAAGCAGATCACGTTATAGCATGGTTGGATAAAATGTATTTCTGACGTGGAAGCCTTCTGAATTGTCAGATTTCAGGTGTACGGTGCGTTCAGGAAAAACACGAACTGAGTGCAAAGATTGTAAATCTATGAAACAAAATTAAAAATTGTTGTAATTTACACTCACAAAAGTAGAGCAGATAAGCCTGCTCTAACTGTGAAGGCTTCCAAAGATATTCTCTGCTCAGGCAAAAAGTGATAGAAGCGGTCAATCCACTTTTCAAATTTATTGCACAGGTACCATACAGCAGCTTCGTACCCAAAAGCCTTCGTACCCAAAACCCTTAAGCAGCCGTCTAAAAGTTCAGATTACAACGTAGATCCGGCTTTTCCTTGGAGTAACCTGGTATACCGCATCATAGACAGCCGGGAGGTGGGGTTAAGAAGCGTACGTGCGTGGTCGAGCTTGTTGACTCGTTTAGCAGTGTTCACAGCTTCTTCAGATCTGCCCACTGTTGCCTGTCAATTTCTTTTTATGCGCACCTATATGGGTGTGTTTTACTAATCAATTTAGCAATCTCATCCTTATACTTCTAAGAAGGAAGTTCTTGTGCAATTTGATACTTCTCAATAAAAGCAAATCAATAGGTTACAATATTATTAAACATACATATATATATATATATATATATATATATATATATATATATATACACACATACATACATACATACATATCATACAACCTATTTAAATCTTAAAAAATATATTTAAAAAAAAAAAAATCGTGCACAAGAACTTTAATACACACAAGCCCCAACAGCCTGCGACCAGGAAACATTTTACACAATTTGTAAGCATTAAGGCAGTGATAAGGTGTTTTGTGATGAAGGCGAGTACATTGGCTTAGTGCCCGGCTGTGCCTGCCTAGTGAGCAACATGAGGTCAAAAAAAATTATGGTGACATTAATCGTGTCGTGCTTTGGAGCATACCTGAGATAGGGTTTAAAAAAAAAAAAAAAAAGTAGCAATAATAAAAACACATTAATACTAAGCCAGCATTGTACAGTGAAGAGGTATGTAAGACATTTGTGTGGTGTCAGATTAGGTGTGCGACTCTGCAAGGGCCTATGCAGCTTCAGGGGCTGGCCTTTATTGTTGTGTGGCCCTGCGGTCATGGATGCCTGTAACCTCTGTGTTTCTTGCCACCTAAGGGGCGTTGAGGGTGTACAGGTTGCGTGCATTGGGAGCCCCGCCATTGTATGTGGGTGAGAGATAATTTGCAAAGGAAGATTCAACAGTTTATTATAGAAGTAAAGGGAAGAGGAGAGACAAGATAAGTAAGTACACAATTCCAGTAGGCCAGCGTGACATCCAGTTCATGGGATTTTCCATGGGTATGGTGTTGGGAACTTCAGTCAAAGTTCAAGTGGTCGCTGATGCGTACTGTTCCAGCGTGCGTTTTGGCGGAACGAAGGGGGTGATCCGATTTGGGTCCCAGTTATGGGTACGTTGCTTCCCCGGTTTGTGGTCGAGGGAGTCCATAGGCAGTCCCAATATGTGCAGCAAGGCCATGGCCTCCTGGAGCTCTTGGACATGATGAGTGGTGTCATTATGGTAGACCTGCAGCATGCGGGAGGGGCGCCAGCGGTACCTCACATTGTGTTGTTGAAGGAGTGTAGTAAGCGGTCTGAGGCGGTCTTGTCTGCTCCAAGCTAGGGTATTCCCTGAGAGGTCAGCGTAAAAAGGTGAAAGTCATTGTGGTAAGGGGTTTTCCCCTTCAGGGCATTAAGCACGGCGGTCTTGTCTGCTCCGCTTCTGAACTGGACCACGGGGTCCCTTGGTCCTGCAGTTGGAGCCTTGTTGGATCTTGGGATGCAGAAAAGACCCTCCAGCTGCATTGCTCCGGCTTGTTTTGGTGGCAGCAAGGTCTCAAACAGCCGACTTGTGAAGTGCCTTTAGATTGTTGCGGCGCCTGGTGTCTTCCAGCGCTGCGAAGCGGCGTTCGTGCATCAAGTTTTGTGTACGTAGGTCAGCCATCTCCCGTTGGAGTGTTATATGCTGGGTGTTCTGGGTGGTTGTGCCCTCTAGAGTTCCCATGCGGCCCTGTATATCGCTGCGGACCGCTGCCACATCAGCTGTGATATGTTTCTGGAGGTCAGCCAGGAGTTCCTGCAGCACCACTTTGGTCACCAGTGCACTGTCAGGTTTGTCTGGGCTGTGCTGCAGTCTGTGTTGCCACCCGCGGGGTCTGTTCCTCCATTCCACCAGAGTAATCCTCAGAGAAATCAGATTAACAGTCTGAGAGGGCGGCCATTTAAGGCCCTGTCGCGCCCTGTGCCACATATCGTCGATAGTCATCCCCAGGTTTGGTTTGTCGGGTCTTTGCTTTTTATTCTTCCTCCCCATGTCGGTTAGGCTTTGTGTTCCCCGGGTCCCGATGGCTGGAAGGTGGCTAGGAAACAGATTGTCTTAGCTATGTGCCGGAGCGCTTAGATTTGCGACCACTCACTTCTGCGTTCAGGCTCCACCTCCAGTTTGTATTTAATCTTTCTAAAAAAAAAAAAAAGTTTAAGATCCTCTTCAGAACCTTCCATATAAAAATTATATCAATAAATCTGATGTGTAACCAGGTTTGCTCCCCATTCTTTACTGTCATATACAAAAAAGTGTTTTCCCAACCTGACAAATAGGTTGGCATAACTAGGGGCAAACCTAGTCCCCATCACAGTTCCTTGGCATTGTAGATAAAATTTTGAATTAAATATAAACTTGGCAACCCAGATCATGAGGGATAGATGTACGTAATGAGGATACATCACTTGTTACTAAAATATTATTTATCCCATCTTTTTTTTTTTAAATATATATTTTAGTAACAAGGGATGTATCCTCATTACATACATCTATCCCTCATGATCTGGGTTGCCAAGTGATAAAAGAATAATTAATGCAAATTGTCAGAGATAAACATAGAATTTTTTAATTGAAAGTATTAATTGGATTTTAAATAATTATTTTATATTTACTAAAAAAAAAAAAATAATATCTATATATCTCTCTCTCTCCTGGTATGAGTCACAGGTGCCTCATCCCAGGGCCCTATTTAGCATTGTACTACAGAGAGCTCCAGATGGAATTATTTCTCTCTCCCTCCCTGCACTCCTCCCCCTCCCCCCGTAAGTGGGTTAACCTCATAAGAGCAGACATTAGGCTGTTAGAGTAGGCCTTGCCAAAGACGGGGTACATTGACGTTGTGGCAGGCTTATGCAATGTATCATATAATGTAACTAAACCCCCATTATTTTTGCCTAGATTAAGTGAATGAAACCTAGATTATTCTGAATGACAATACTCCCCCTCCCCCCCTTATTGGTTGGTTTTATGATAATGTCTTTATTATCTTTGTTATAAGGCTTTTCTTTCATTAAAATTATTCTTGCTATTTTTATTCTCTCTTTGTAATTGTTCAAAATCTTCTATTAATGATTTTTCAAAGATTTCGATAGCACTTGTTCTAAAATATCTAGGATAAAAACTAGACTTGTTTTTAAGTGTAGTATGAGTATCATCTATAATTCTGTCTTTACATTTATTAACTGAAAAAAAAATATTTTTAAAGTTAAAATTCTAGAATATTTAAAGGGAGGGAGGAAGTTAGTATTGTCATTCAGAATACGGATACTTATTTAAAAGAATGTTATAAACAACTACAAGATAAAGTGTATAAAGTTTTAGATAAAGATCCCTTGCAAGATATACAAGAATCCTTATATGCACTTTTGTATAAGGGTAAGGAAGTTGGCATCCTAAATGAGGATACTCCGAAAGGAGTTTCCTATGTTGCCAGTCTTCTATACCCTGCCAAATGTGCGTCAAGATAGATAACTCCCTCCACCCCAAGACCGATCGTTTCAGGCATTGAATCAACTTCTGCTAACTTATCTAAATGTGTAGATACTTGGCTATAAAATCTAGTGAAACAAATACCTTCCTATCTGAAAGACACTCTAGTCTAGATGTTAATATTTTTTTTTTTTTTTTTTTTAAATAAAATGGGATAAATCATATTTTAGTAACAAGTGATGTATCCTCATTATATACACATTATCCCTCATGGTCTGGATTGCCTAGTGATAAAATAATGTTTCATTAAGTCAAATAAAATTTTCCCAGATACACAATTTAATTGAAAGTATTAATTGGATTTAAAGTAATTATTTTATATTTAATTCAAAATTGTATCTACAACGCCAAGGAACTTCGATGGGGACCAGGTTTGCCCATAGTTATGCCAACCTGTTTGTCAGGTTGGGAAAACACTTTTGTATATGACAGTAAAGAATAGGGGGCAAACCTGGTCACATCTCACAGATTTATTGATATCATTTTAATATGGAAAGGTTTTAAAGAGAATCTTAAACTTTTTTTTTTTAAGAAAGATAAAATACAAACAACTGGGGTATTACCCTAACTAGTGATTTTAGTAAGTCTACTATTACATTTTTAGATTTGGAAATGTATATAGAAAATATGATAGATAGATATAAAAAAAAAAACAAAATTAAAAAAAAAAAAGTAGAAGCAAACAATGTTCTGTACAATAGTGGCCATTACACACCTTGGTTGAACAATATCCCAAAAGTGCAATTCCAAAGGATTAGGAGGAATTGCACAGACAGAAAAATTTGAGGAACAAGCCAATGTGTTAATGGATACATTTAACCAAAAAAAGTATCCACAACATCTTTTATAAAAAGCTTACAATGAGGTTTTAAAATTTAGATCCAACAGAATTATTAGAAGAATCAAAATCTTTAACTACAATGAACATAAAGAAAAATCATTACCTTTAGTTTTTAATTTTAAGAAAATCAAAACAATAGTAAATAAACACTGGCATGTGCAAAAAAAATAAAAAAAATAAAATAAAAAAAAATTATAATGAGTTATCTATAATTATTCCTGCAAAACCCTTTTATTACTTTCAGAGTAGCACCAAATTTTAAGCGCATTTTAACTTTCAACCACCCTAAAAAAGAAATCCCAAGAACATTATTAGATGACAAAAAAAGGTTTTTATTCTTGCAATAAATGTGCAGGGTGCAAATGTAGTAAAACAGACCCTTAACAATGATTATGTATTTATTTATACAAGATTTTATTACATGTTTTAGTAAAAATTTAATGTATCTTAACATGTCCATGTGAAAGTCAATATGTAGGGTGGACAATTCATCCCCAACATGAGAATATATGAACATGTAAATAATTTTATTAAAGGATACGAACAACATAGTGTCTCACCACATTTAAAAAACAAAAACAAAAAACAAACACCATAATAAAGACCCAAGAGGATTTACTTTCTTAGGAATTGAAATAGTAAAAAAAAAAAAAGTCATGGCATGGGGTAGCCATATTATGGATATTGGAAAGAAAAATTAAATGGCTTCACAGGTTAAAAACCTCTGGAACCAAAAGGATTAAATATTGAATTTGATTTAGTTAATTTCCTGTGATTTTTAAAAATATATATTTTAGACTTTTTGTAATAGATTTATTCTTTTAAGTATTAATATGGGTGTAACTTTAAAAAAAATATATAGTGTATTTACAGTTCTCTCATTTAGTAGGTATTTTCTATACTTTTTTTTTAATCCATATATTTAATTTTTTTTCAAATAAAGAAAAATAAGAAAGAGTACTACTTTTGAAAAAGGATACCAGGTCTAAAGGCCTAGAATCAAGCGTCAAAACAGATTACCCCCATATGGGATCCCTACAGACGATATACATTATCAAAAAAATGCATAAAAGTAAAACAAAATAAATATTAATTAAGATGCCTGTCAGCTTTCTTTCAAATGGATAGATACAACCAAGTGTAGTACTACTTGTATAACTCCTATAAATTGAAGTCTGTGAATACATTCTAATAGAGGAGTGGGAATTAACTTGATTGATCTAAACAGGAGTTGTTTAGACGGTAGTCATTGTGCTACAAAGTAGCCATATCTAGACACTTCTAGGATAAAACAGCATGAGAAGCAGAGATACAAAAGAGAGGTCTAATTGTCAATAAATTAGATTAAATTTCTTAGAGTAGCATTTGCATAGAAGAGTGGGGTAAGCTAGTAGTGTAGATGAAAGGGATAGGAAGGTAGAAACTCCTAACAGAATTCCACCCCACCTTATCACAAGTCACACCCCCCCACTATCTTGCAATATACTGCTTATCGGCTTGGAGCATAGTAATGTACAACAGGTATAGGAATAAAGTGGGATGATAGTTCGAGAGAGGGTTTGGGACTATATAGGTAGCTAGTGGGTCATAGAAAAGTATAATATGTTCAATTTATCCAGACCCAAGCATACCACACAAGCAAATCCCCATTCAGATACCTTAACATTAACCTAGTAACAACTGTTCCCCAGCCAGTTACAGCAAATACCATTGAATTCGACCTGATAACTGGCAAGCTGCTTCAAGGCAGCTCTGATAGTGTATTCACTGTATCATCCCTCTCACTTGCTGTTTAAAGGTAGTTCTACTGCTGCTTGCTATCACAAACACTGCAGCCAGATAAAGGCATGAGGGAGTGAGCCTCTGATTAAACTAGTATCTAGCTAATTGCTTTCAGTCAGCTCTAGTGAAGGCTAGCTACCTCCAAAATTTCTAGCAGGCATACGAAGGAGATCCTAAGTAAAAACAAACATCCTACCGGCACTTCAAAGGCGCCTTTGCAACCTGTCTCAAAAGTAGTACGCATTCTCTAAAAATTTGCTCTTTTTGGATTATGCCCATATTACCCATTTTGTCCCACAAGACTGTGGGGTTAGATTTTCCCTCTCTTAAGTCTTGTATTTTCAAATTTTTTTTTTCACCCAAATAAAGTTTATTGTGTATATTAAAGCCATTAATAAAGTTACTGTGCAAGATTTTTAATATTTAAATAGGTTGTATGATAAGTATGTTTAATGATATTGTAACCTATGGATTCACTTTTCTTGAGAAATATCAAATTAATTGCACAAGAACTTCCTTCTTAGAAGTATAAGCATGAGACTGCTAAATTGATTAGTAAAACACGCCCATATAGGCATGGATAAAAAGAAGTTGACAGGCAACAGTGGGCAGATCTGAAGAAACTGTGAACACTGGTAAACGAGTCAACAAACTCGACCACGCACGTACGCATCGTAACCCCGCTTCCCGGATGTCTATGTTGCGGTATACCAGGTTACTCCGAGTAAAAGTCGGATCTACATTGTAATCTGAACTTTTAGACTGCTGTTTAAGGGAAAGGCTTTTGGGGACGAAGCTGCTGTATGGTACCTGTGCAATAAATTTGAAAAGTGGATTGACCGCTTCTATCACTTTTTGCCTGAGCAGAGAATATCTTTGGAAGCCTCCACAGTTAGAGCAGGCTTATCTGCTCTACTTTTGTGAGTGTAAATTATAACCATTTTAATTTGTTTTATTGTTTCACAGATTTACACTCCTTTGCACTGTTTTTTTGGTACTCTGACCAACATATGTTTATTACCATATTTTGCACGATTAGAAGGGATATGAATTTTTATGTATTTTACACTTGTTCACATTTTGCTGCACTTTAAAAAAAAGTTTTGGTCCCATTTTGGAATGGTTTTTATTAATTGTGTGTTTTAGGTGCTGCTTTTTAAAGATATATTTATTGTGCCACCATTAAAAGGGTATTATAGAGGACTATTGTTATCAGCGCCTTTTTTCACTTGTTTTTTTTTTAAAATTTTAAAGTCAGATGTGGTTATTTGCTAGAAGTGTAGGCCAAAAGCAGAGGGAAATCTCAAACTATAAAAAGTTTTCTACTCACTCAACCATCCATTAAAAATACTTACCCTTCAAATTTCAGAAGTAATTTGACTCTTGACAAAACTAATCCAGAAACTGTATTAAACTATAAAGATATCTATGGAGACCGTATAAAAACGGAGGAGACATAAAACTCACTCTGAACGCATTGATGTCGACACTGCGATCGATATATTTCTTTTTTTCATATTTTTCTCTAATAAAACTTTCTACAGCTCTGATGCAATTTCATTAAGGAAAATAGGAAAGAAACAGTTGTCTAACATAAAATGGATAATTAAACCTCAGAACTGCGGAGAATTGATGCATGAACTGACAATCTTAGATTTACCTTGGGATAGTCCAATAGTTTTAAAAGGTGTTGCACTCAAGAGGATTATGTGCAAATGTGAAAAATTTACTATAGCACTAAAATGGGGCAGTGATCACCATGGCAACCAGTAGGTACATTACATTGGTGACTCGTCTTTTCCATGTTTGCCCCACTGACCCCCACAATAACACTTCAGTAAAAAGATGTACATGATATTCTCTTATCAGTGGAAGCTATATCAGTATAGAGATACTCCACTGATTAAATACAAAACACTTTTTTTTTAAATCACTGTTCAGTAGATATACCCCAAATGAAAACGTGCATTAATTTACCAATGCATTTTTTCATTGGGTGAATATCTAAAAAACGCTTTCAAAACCTACAGATCTCGTGTCTGCATCCTTTGAAAGTCTCTCTCCTTCCTGAGGCCAGACTTCAATCACAGACTTTCCAATGCAGCTCAATGAGAAATCTTTGCAATGCGGGTGCTCTGAGCAATTACTACCTCTAAAGTTTAGCTCCACTAAGCTAACCAAACCAGAAAGTAACAGGTGGGACCCGTTGTCTGCTTGAAAGCCAAGTGTTGTAACCAGGTTAATTTAGAAAAGCCACACTTTATTTGAAATCTACCCTTTTTTTCCCATATTACATTAAAAAAAGGCCACACGCTTCACACAAAGCTTTTCAGCAAGCTAATGTGCTTTAGGGGTCTGGAGTGTTCCTTAAAGCAGAGGTGAGGAACCAATGGTCCTCCAGATGTTGTGGACTACATCTCCCTTGATGCTTTGTTAACATTATGGCTGTAAGAGCATTATGGGAACATTAGTCCAAAACATTTTGAGGGCCCTGCATTAAAGGGACACTCCAGGCATCCAGACCACTTCTGCCCATTGGAGTGGTCTGGGTGCCAACTCCCACTATCCTAAACCCTGCAAGTGTAATTATTGCAGTTTTTTATTTTTTTTTTTTTTGTTTTTTTTTTATAAACAGCAATAATTACCTTGCAGGGTTAACTCCACCTCTAGTGGCTGTCTACCAGACAGCCAATTCCTGGATTATAGCACAGAAAACCTGTGCTAGAGCGTTGCTGGACGTCCTCACGCTGTGTGGGGACCTCCAGCGTCGCTCAATTCCCCATAGCAAAGCACTGAAAAGCATTTTCAATGCTTTCCTATGGAGACCTCTAATGCGCATTAGGTCTCCCCGGGCCAGCGGACGGGATCAGTCTCGCCCACCGGCCGACGTAATGAAGAGGAGGAGTAGCGGTGAAGGAAGAAGCAGCAACATGGGACATGTCGCTGCCTTTGGTAAGTGACTGAAGGGGTTTTCACCCCTTCAGCAACCCAGGATTGGGAGGTGGGAGGGAGAGGGGACCTGCAGTGCCAGAAAAACGGATTGTTTTCCTGGCACTGGAGAATCCCTTTAAAAGGAACATATGAATAGGAAATAATTTGGGTTACAATACAAAAGATACTGGTCGGTCTGTGGCCTGGTAAAGCTTTCAGGAAGAAATGCTTCATATAATCGTTTTGCTTTTCCATTTCCCATTTCTTCCATGCACTGCAGAGATAGGAGAGAAAAAAATATGAATTAAAAAAAAAAAAAAAAAATTAAAAATACATTACAGAGTAAGCAGATACACAGGTTCTTGATCACCAAAATGGTAGACAGCTCAGTAAGTTTTCATACAATAGAAGAGTAGGTATTGATTTCTATCCCTAGGATTGTGGTCAGTGTTCCTCTAATTGAATTGTTACTAGTACACACCTCACTTCCTCAGATGTTAGCAATTCTGTAACTGAAGAAATTTCAGGCAGACCAGATGATGAATTAGTGCAGCAGAGCCATATTTGGAGTTATAGATAAATAATTTTCTCTCAAAATTTACACTTTATGACAACATGAAATGTATTCTGAAAAAGGGAATAATCACGTACAGCCTATTCCCTAGCACTTGGCTTACGAAAAAAATAAAAACACGAGGAAGAATCGAAAATTAGCCAGGTCACCAACTCCAGCTATGACTAGAATAAAAAAGTACTAGTTCAAGACTAAAGAGCTGCAGTAAATTCATCTGACAACTGGAAAGTGGTTGCTTTACTGCAATCCATGGAGAATAGGAATTGTCCTTGCACCTGGGTATTTATCAGCTTGTTTAATAGCAGCGAATTAGCACCATGCAATCTTTTGCTCTGCTCCCACACGCTCCCTGCTACGATGCTGGGAGACGGAATATGACGCCACTCCAGCCTCGGCATCACTTAACGGCGAGTGAGGGAGCAGAACAAGAAGAGCTTGAGGATTTCAGCAGCCACACACTAGATCTTAGGGAAAAGATCCACTCCATCTCTTCCAAAGGTAAGAGGGCTGGGTGGACTGAAATAAAAATAAGTTAATAAAATGCGTGTGTGTCAGTGAGCATGTCTGCAAGAGAGAGTGTCTGCCTAGGTGACATGACGCCCTCCCCACCAGTTGGCATGGGAAAGGTGTTTTTACTCACCTTTATTCCCACGCATTACCAGTCTCTTGTGGCTAGCTGACCTCCATAGCGGAGATCAATCTTGGTGATCTCAGTCAACCCAAAGAGTTCCCATAGGAAAGCATTTCGATGGTTACTGCCCATGCACAGCAAAACGGTACATCTATGGGAAACATTCAGTACCGCCATGCAGAAAGTGAAACCCTGAACGTAGGTACTACACACTGTGCTGCACTGGACTAAAAAGCACCTCTATTGGCTGCCTGAGTGACTGTCTCTAGAGGTGTTATTGGGCAGAAATGTAAACACTGTCTTTTCTTTGAAAAGGCAGTGCTTACATTGAAAAGCTTACAGGGACAGTCTATAAACACCAGACCCACTACATTAAGTTGGAGTGGTTTTGAAGACTAGCATCCCTTTAAGAATTGTATTTTTGTTGCTGAAAATAAGCTCTTAGTTTAAAAAAAAATTTCACTGACTAATAGAGTCCAAGCAAATTTGTCGAGATCTGTATAAAAACATAACATACTGAATCAGGACATAAAATAATACACAACAAAAGGGAGGGGTGAAGGAAAGTTAAAATTTGTCCAAAAGCAAACTCCCAGGAAGAATCCATAGGGTTCCAAGACCTTGAGGTGTGACAAAAAAGAATTTAGGTTAATCACTGGTTTACTATTCAGTACCTTCAGGAAGTACACAGCAAAAAGTAGATGGCTTATCTTGCTCAAAGTTTATATTGACTTATAAAAACAGGTGTAACCAGAAGATGTGGGGGTGGTTTAGACATTTTCCACTGACCTGTATTTGTTCCTGTGTCCACTGGTCCAGATTGACAGATTTCACCCTGGAGATGTGAACCCCCAGATTCCGATGAACTCCTGCACAGCGGATGCATAAAAAGACTCCGATATTCCAGGAGGCCCATCGTGGACCTAGGCAGAAGGACACAATCACAGACACGTATAGAGTGAGCCGGAACCTCAACATTTAGTTTGTGTTTTTCCAACAAGTATTTTAATGCATTCAAAATTCGTTTGATTGTATGTCATCTTATTGCACACTTTCTCCTAGTACATACTTTTTTTTTTTTTTGGGAAGCAAGTAATCAAGTAACCACAGTTATTGACTGTGCAACAAGGAAAATAGATACAAACAACTTCAGCATACAATAGCAGAGAATGATCTGGAATCTTAGCCTTTTAGAGTAAACTAATACATTTAGCTAAATAATTAAAAAAAAAAAATACACACACACACATATATATACACACACACACAGCCCCACACTCTGCGGTCTTCAATAAGTGAAGTGGTATTTAATCCATATACACAGATTTTTTTCCTACTGTTGCACTGGAAATCAAAGTAGTACTACATTTTATTTGTGATGCTACACAGAAGTGTGTACAACTGACAGTGTCACATGCACTACAACACAAAATTTCCACTTGCCCGCTACCCATCGACATTCACCGCTGGCTAATGTACCGCGGATCCGTCAGGCTTTTAGTGGAGAGGAATATTTAGACCAAGCACAACTTAAAACTTTAACCCCTTAAGGACACATGACATGTGTGACATGTCATGATTCCCTTTTATTCCAGAAGTTTGGTCCTTAAGGGGTTAAATGAAGACTTTAATAACAGAATTTGCTTTAAAAAAAAAAAAAAAAGTGGTCACCTTAAACTGGATCAGTGCATGTGTGTATATACACACACACCATTAACTATATATAAGCTTAATTTTATATAATCTACACTATAATTTAGTTGTGACCCCCCCCCCCCACCCAATGCAGACGATTACATAATCTAGGTCATTAATGTGTGATACATAAATGCCACCCACACACGGCATTAATGATATATTATTTATTTTTCCCCCTTCGTAAATGTTGAAGATTCCATCAGCTTTACTTTCTAAAACATCTGTAAAGAAAAAAAAAAGGAAAAAAAAAAGTGTGCAGTAAATAGGTCGTTGTCTGCATTGAGAGTGGGTCACAACTAAATTATAGTGCGTAGATTATATAAAATAAGAAGCTGCAACAAACAGCAAAATTAGAGTATATTACAACACTTCCTTTGATTAATCTATGCAAGTGACAGGAAGCTCTGGATACATAACGTTTCGCAACATTTTTTTATGCAGCCCATTGACAGATCAGTTATTTCCTGTAAATAAGTGAATATTTACAGCAGATCTGTATTTCTAAAGCAGAGCTAGATCCCTCTAGAATACTTTTCCTTTCAATTGTCAGAAAGGGGTAATAAATTCATAGAAAATCTTTACAACAGAACAATAACATGGACATGAAAAAGGCAAATGATAACTGCTTTCTCATATGCCATTAAATTAATGTTAAGGTAGAGACAAGGTCATAATGTTACACTGTACAATACCCTCTATGCATAGGATTAACTCAATCACAAAACAAGAAAGCATAAAGCCTGCAGCAGAACAACTCTGTTTGCAAACACTGTCAACATAAAAGCACCTGACTCATTGACCAGCATAGCTATCTGTTCACTGCATCGCCCTGCAATATTGACAGTTCCCCATCTGGTCACGCACTTGCATAACCCAGGAGGGTAAATGGTCATAGCTTAATAAACACAATGTATATAAATGTGTGTGCGTGTGTGTTCCGCTAGTTAAAACCAAGTGAGTCACTCTCAATGCATCATTTCTACAATGTCTGCTACCTGCAAGGTGTTCTGCTGGTTGCATCCATATTACTTGCATTTGAAGTTCCAATAATGGTTGAATATATAGATAAAGTTATGATTCCACTTTGAGCCAGTGTGATCAGTGTAAAAGTTAGTGTCAAATGCACTAAAGGTTTCTATACATAAATTAAAAAAAGGACATATTTGAGGATGCTTTTGTGCATGTCTTTTTTTTCCCTTACATTATCTGATGCACAATATACACATGACTTACGTTTGTTTCTTATACACGGAAGCTGGTTTCTTATTCGTAGTAGCACCGGTAATTAAAATTAAATGTTATATGGCAATACAACTCCAATTAAAATAATTAAAACATTTAGGGGGAAACGCCAGGCATACAATTTTGCAACATCATTTTACTTTGGCCAGTAAACTGTAGTCAAACCTCAGAATTGATGAACCAAGACATGCTGAACAAGTAACTGATGATTTTTCAAAGGGTTAATTGTGGTTGAGCCACAAATGTTCACATGGATTTACACAGTAGAGTTCAGAATGAACAAAATTATCTTTTCAATAAGATTTACAGATATCTAATGTGCAATACAGGTATGGATTTTAGTGTTCATAGCGGTTTAACAAAACCTGTAACACCAAGGACATACTAGGTTTTTTTTTAATTTTTTATTTTTTATATATCCGTCTTTAGATTAACACACAATTACACAGATTGGTCAAGGACACATAGATACACATAGAATGTCACCCCCCCACCCCCCTCCCACACACACAAAAATGAGTATTTCATGAAGATAGAATCTGAAATTCTAAACCAGTCAAAAGATATGAGACAAATGGGGGTCTCTATATTTTTCCTACAACTAGACACCTGGCAAATCCACCCCGTCACGAGTAATGGCTGCAGGGAATTGGCTTTTGGGATCCTCCAAATATCTCAATTCTGTATTCTCATGCATGCGCAAGAGTACAGCAACAACATCTGCTTGTGGCGATGTAAAGGATCACCTGAAGGAAGATCAACACACTCACGAGGGACAGGTTCAGGTAAGCAAATCTCACCTTTACCTGCCATCCCCCTGACCACCAATGCTGATGCCACCATCGGGAGTCTTTGCAAATTCTGCAAAGTCCCCAGAATGTGACAGCGCAGCTTTAAATAGCCTGATGCATGCACAGCTACACACAATCAAGCATACACACTAACATACAACAGCCTGACTCATACACAAAGACATACTTCAATATACAAACACATTCACAATAAAAACATCACACACATACACTCCCTCAAAGTGAGAGGAGGATTTCCTGTGTACAGCTCTCTTTAGTTCCTTCCACAGGTTTCCCATGAAATTCATGTCTGGGATCGAATTGGACCAGGCTCAAGACAAGTGTGGTTAATACTGGCCAGCCTACTGTGTATAAATGCGTGTGAAAATCAGTGGCCCAATAGCAATTAACACCATGAAAACATCAGTTACCTATTCAAAATGAGATAACAGTACCCATGGTAGAGTTGGCACTGTTTGTATGCCCTAGTTAACATTGGACCAATCTAAAAAAAAAAGTAATTATTTACATTTGGGTTGTACTGCAACGAAAAGTAGAATTTTACATTTAAATAACGGAGCCAAAAAAAAAAAAAAACTACCTTCCACAAAAAAGAAACTGACCAAATAAAACAACAAAATCAAAACTTCAGCCTCGGCACATGATCCGCTTTATAATTATATGGCCACCGTAACACGGTTAGAAAGAGATTGCGCAATGGAAGGTGCTGTCGGAATGACTAGGATTGAGGAAGAGTCCCTTTATTTTTTTTATTAAAAACGCCAACAAATTCTGTAGCGCTGTACAATGGGTTGACTAGTAGACATGTCATTGCAGAGGATGCTGAGTGCCCTGCTCACAGGAGTTTACCACTTACTAGTTTGCCCGCAGTAAGGTTACATACTGTCAGATAAAGAGGATGTACAATAATAATTCACTGTAGTACACTGGGCAGGAGGACATGGCAATGGGGGCAGTGGAAGGTAATGCTGCTCTATAAAAGGAGTGATCAGATAGCAGTCTGTGCAGCAGTGCCCTCTGCCCTTAGTGTTAGGGCACAGTGCTGGCTCCATGGCCAAGTATTGGGCATGGCTCTGTGAGGCCCCATTGACCCCCCCCATAGGGCAGCATGGAGAGAGGGCTGATGCCTGCAGTGTTAGGAGCTATCCTGTGCCATGGAGCTAATCCCCGGTACCGGCTCCAGGTTAGCCGGGGGGCAGACAGCTATGCCATACCCGGTCACCAGCCGTTACCTTTGGCCTGGCAGTCCGCACAGAACTTGTTCTCCTCCCGCAGCAGCAGCTCGGACAGCACAGCCTGGTAGCGCTCCACATCCCGAACCGATTTCCCGGTCATGTTCCCGGGAGAGAGAGTAAGATGGCTGCCCAGGTGCGGCTTCTCTCTCGGTTCCTGTTTCCGGGTCTCTCTGTAAGCCCGCCCACTCAGCACTACGTAACACCTCCGCTGCCACGCCCACTTCGCACGGTTTCTTTGTTTTTTTTTACGCAGTCGACCAATCAGCGTTGAGGATGGGGATAAAAACCAAACCTTCTTTCCCACCAGAAAAAAAAAAGGAAAACATGAATGGGCGATGACAGTAACTGGATCAATGGGAGCCGGGAAACAGCACAGGAGGGCTGACGTCATTGGCCGAGGCTGACACCTCTAATAATGTGTGACTGCACGGGGACATTGCTCACACACTGTATACTGCCCATAGTGACACAGTGTCATTCATACCGTATTGGGTCAATCACCACCAGTACCAGCTCTGTGTCCAGCCAGCTGCCTGTAGTGCTAAACCCATACCTCCCAAGCCGGGCCCATCCTGGGGGTCACAGACTACTGGGGGCAACCACCCCACCTCTCCTTTTGTACTTAGACAGACACACACTCACTGACAGACACACACTCACTGACAGACACACACTCACTTTTTGAGTGCTGATCGGTCAGTCTGAGGCCACAATGCATTGAAGCACTAGGCATTAAAAATACTGGGTTGATGAATAATAATGGTGCATATAGTGGCAGATTCCGAGCCTGATCTCAGGAGGGACACTTGTAGATTATTTAAAGAAATAATCCATGCACAATAACCACTACAGCTCTTTGTAGTGGTTATAGTGCCAGGAGTGCCGGGACCCCCTCCCAGAGTAAGTAGCAAAACCGTTTAAGAACAGTTTGACAACTTACCTGGGGTCAGCTAGGGTATGGGGCTGTATTAAGGCATAGAAGCAGTGGTGTGTGTGAGGGGTGCAGTGTGTGTGAAAGGTTCAGTGTGTGTGGGAGGTGTAGTGTGTGAATGTGTAGGATGTGTGGTGCAATGTGTATATGGGGGGCTGTGTATGTCTCTGTGTGTGGCAATGTGTGTATGGGGGGCTGTGTATGTGTGTGTGTGGGGCAATGTGTGCATGGGGTAGCAGTGTGTGAATGTGTATGGTGTGTGTGGGGACTGTGTGTGTGGGGGGGGGGGACAGTGTATGTGTGTGTGGGGGCAGTGTGTGTATGAGGGGCAATTGCCCCGTTGCCCCCACTCCCCGATCCGCTAGTGGGTGCATATTAAAAATGTTAGGGTGCAAAAAAAGCACAGGATGATTAAAGTCCAAATCCATTTAATAAAGTGCACCAAACATTTGTCGAAGGTTAAATTAAAAAATCTTTCTGTGACACTTTGATAGATCTTCCCCTATGTGTGAATTACTTTGAGAAATATCTTTAAAGAATGTGGAATAAACTCTACATTTTAAGCCTACATTTGAAAGTTACTTGAGCTTTTCTGGGGCCCTCGATGAATGGAAATTTTGGTCAGTGTGTCCTCTGTAATCTAGTCCTATCCTATTCTTTTTAGTAGAGCTGGAGAAACAGTTATAGAGGGTCTTCAACTCAGAGCTGTCCCATCTCAGTGTATTACACTGGAGAGAAAGAAACAACTTTGTAAAAAACAAAATTCAATTAATTTAATAATATATTTTAATGACAGTTCCCAATAGTTTATTCAATGATATTTTTATACTGGACAGAATCCTTGGACATTAATAGGACAGGACGCTTAAAAATGGGGAGGTCCCATAAATTGGAACAGTTGGCAAGTATGCACGGCAGTCAGACAACAATGTTACTCTGTATAATTGATAGGATGTTTTGGGATACTGCTAGTGTACCTATAAAAGAGGACAAAACATAGTGCAAATTCTTTGTGCTGACCTGGATACTCCATTGGCTATCACTTGAGGAAGAGAAATCAATAGGAGTTAACCCCCCTATTTCCATCGAGGGGAGGCACCCATAATACGCTTACCTTTTTTGGAATATGTGAGTGCATTTCAATCATTGGAAGTTTTATAGTGTCTAGCAATATTTGCACTATGTTTTGTCCTCTTTTATAGGTACACTAGCAGTATCCCAAAACATCCTATCAATTATACAGTTCTGCTATACGGTTATCAGCTGGGAGATAACCTTGGGAAGCAGTGCACCTATAAAGCTAAGTTTTTTACTTTGTTACATATATTTTTTTGGTGTGTTTTCACACTTTTTTCACGGGTGTCCGTGTTTTTTATCTGTTGTGTTCCTAGCATTGTAATATATATCCATATTGTGTTTATAAGAAATGGCAGAAAGTAGTAATTATTTGCAAAGAATACAAAAAGCAAGATCCCAAAAGTTTGAATTAATGTTTAAAAATGTGGCCAAACCGATACCTATGAGGGGGTTGGAGGAATTTTTTAAACAGAAAGAAAAGTTGTTGAATTTGGAAACGAAAAAATTGTGGGAAATTGCTTTTCTGGGGAGTTATCTAGACAAGGGTCTCATTCCTAGGGGACTCCGTATAGATAAAACCCCAGCTTTTGGTTTGGAAAATGAAGAATTTCTAAATAAATGGGATGAGATTTTGTTTAATTGTTCTCGCCAATTAATGACATTATTATTGGATTTTTCCAAGGCAAGCAAATTAAAGATTGAGGAAGATCTAGATAATTTGGATAAATCAGATATTGGTAACAGAGAAGATGTGGAGTTTAAAGAAAGGGAAGAGATTCTATTTAAAAGATGACAACATCTAGATGAGAAAATTTCTGATACTAAGAATAATAAATATTTAAGGGACAAAGATGACATAGTCCATAATAATTTTTCAACTAGGAATAAAATTGCTCGTAAAAGATTGGGAAGATCAAATGTTAGAAACAGATTTATCAGAACTCCTTCTAGAAGTTTTAGGAGAAGAACTCCAGAAAAGAAATCTCAGTATAATTTTAGAAAGAGATTTCCTTCTACTGATGCTAGGAGAAAAACTCCATTCAGAGGAAGGTCACCTAAAATCTTTGGAAAAAGTTCCCCAGAAAGAGGAAAAGATATATCACACAAGTATCCAGAAAGAGGGGGGAAACCATCCTTTAAGGGAAGGGTAGACAGAAATGACATAGATGATGTCAGTGATACAACCCAATTCCCATACAGAAGGGAAAATCACTCTGACACTTATGCACAGGTGGTGAGGAGTAAGGAAGATAATAGAAAAGGGAATCCTTTGGAGATCAGGGAAAAAGAAAATTTTCAGGAGAGAGCAAGAGCCCCAAAAGAAAAAACTATCACCAATTACTTCCAGCCACGAGAAAAACGGTGGGATCATCCCAACCGTTTCTCCCACCTGTACAGGGAATCTCCACAAAAAAGAAAAAGAGCAGAGGATCAGGAGAGAAACCAGGGGAGAGATTAGTAACATTAGGGGACGAACTAAAGAGGGGGATTGTTAATTTGTCTGGAGTTGATTTGACAGAACAAGAAATGCAGTTATTAGAGAAGGGAATGAAATTCGCCCCTAATCAAGAGGCGGATGACTTTCAACTATACATCGATCTTAAAAAGTTTATTAGATCTATGACAGTTACAAGACACTTTTTGAAATTCCCTAGTCCGATTGAGAAGGAAGATAAAAAAGAACTAAATGACGTACAGAGAAAATTTAAACCTAAGTCTAAGTTCTACCCAGTATATAGTAAAGGGTCACATCTGGAGACCTTTGAAAACCTGGTAGAAAAAGATTTTGAAAAATGGGCAGGTAAGAGAAAGAGAGGAAGGAATCAAGTTAATAATTTGACCAAGGGGGAGCAACTAGCACTAAAAGATTTGACCTCAAGGGAGGACATTATCATAAAGGAAGCGGATAAAGGGGGGGCAATAGTCATTATGTCAGAACAGTATTATCGACAAGAAGCTTTTAACATTCTAGCTGATGGTAAAACTTATAAAAAACTTATAATTGATCCTTCCCAAACTTTTAATATGGAATTAAAAACCCTTTTAGAAGAGGCTAAAAATGAGGACATCATTACTAAAAGAAATTTTGACTATCTTTGGAATCCTCATCCGGTTATTCCAATATTTTATTTTATTCCAAAGATTCATAAAAATCTAACAAACCCTCCGGGGCGCCCAATAATTAGTGGTATCGAATCTATTACAGCAAATTTGTCTGCTTTTTTAGATTCTTATTTACAGAAATATGCCCAAACGGCATGGTCATATACAAAGGATACAAAATCTTTCTTACAAGAAATTGAAAATTTGGAGTGGCAGGAAGATTACAGTTGGGCTACATTGGATGTATCCTCGTTGTATACGGTTATTAGCCACAATCTTGGATTAGAGGCAGTTGCCTTTTATTTGCATCAGGATATGGATGTGTCTTCTGGTCTCAGATCCTTCATTCTGTGGGGCATTCAGTTTATATTAGAACATAATTATTTTTTGTTTGATCAATCTTTTTATCTGCAGTTGGTGGGTAGCGCCATGGGAACCAGGTTCGCCCCCACTTATGCCAACATATACATGCGCAGGTGGGAGGACCTCTGCGTTCGTTTGGGGCATGACTGGGTGGTGAACCTGGTCCTATGGCGGCGGTATATCGACGATGTCATTATTATTTGGAAGGGGTCGGATTCTGAATTTAACACTTTTGTTAAACATCTTAATCAGAATGATTATAATTTAAAATTTTCTCCAGTATGGGACCGTAGAGAAATTAATTTCTTGGATCTCACCCTATTTTGTGAGGGAAATGAAATAAAATCTAAGTGCTTCTTTAAACCAACTAATGGGAACAGCTATGTTCATAAACGCAGTTGTCACCATCAACCTTGGTTGAAGGGAATCACCAAGGGACAACTCACTCGAGTAAGAAGAAATTGTTCACACACCAAAGATTTCCAGATACAGGCGCAACATATAGCCGACAAATTAGTCAAAAAAGGCTATAATCAAAAACATATAAAGAGAGAAATCCAGGCGATGTCCAAAAAGAGCAGAAATGACCTTCTTATTGACGGTTCTAGTAGTAGGAGGAAAGGGGAAGATTTTAAACAGGCCTTTTTTTACACAATATAATGTGGACCATCCAAAAATAAAAAGGAGTTTGCATAAGTATTGGCCGATACTATT